TTCTATGATAATATTATAATGTGTATGTGCGAGTGCAATTTGAGCACAGTTTTCGGGCACAACAATAATAATATCATTATAACCTTCTCCGTGGTAAGTAATCACTTCTACGACGAACGCATGACGTATCACTTGCCGGGTCGCATGCGATCGTTTTCCAAGTATAATTACCGGTTCACACTGCACGTTTTAAAGTGTGAACATCGGTCAGCGTTGTTATGTCGTCGACATGTTCCAAGATCCCTCGGAAAAAATGTCCATACGTAAAATAAGGGAAATAAAAATAGAATTCTAATGTACTTACATAATATTATACATTCATCTATCTATAAAATATATATAAAACTGTGTCCTTTATACACACCTAAACCGTTCATCCGATTGCGATGAAATTTGGTACGAAGATAGATTAGACCTCGGGCAAGAAGATAGGCTACATTTTGTAGAGAGGTAAAAGTTAAATAAGAGGTCCTACCCGGGGAAGTTTTCAAACAGGGATTTAGAGTTTATTATTATTATTAATTTTTTTTTTAATTGGTTGCTTTTGGTTTTAATAATAATTATGATTATTATTAATGCCATAAGCCTGTGTATTTTAGTACAGAATGTATTGAGTTCGAACCACGGTTTCGGTGGACCAATTTTTTTGATTTTTTTGATACTTTAGAGTTAAATTATACACTTACTTACACACATCACGTGGAATCTACTACCTGATAATATACTACTTACATAATCACAAACCTAGCAATTAGAGGCGTGTTTAACGAGGTGCAAAGGGGGCAAAATTTGAAAATATTTCAAAGGCGGTATTCGTATATTAATTTTTTCAAACATTTTTTTGATTTTTTGTAATAAATGAATTTTTCCATCAATTATTAAATATATTATACAATTTAATGTTAAAAGATTTAAGTATTATATGAAAAATATTTTTAATTTTAATAAATCTTATCATCCTCATTAGTAAGTAGGTAGTGGGTTGTAGACAGTTGGTTGTAATGTTGTCAAGTGTACAAGACACAAGTGTAATTTTATTTTATATTTTAAAATAATGTCTTCAAAAACAAAAAGAGTGAAATTAGGTGGCGCTGAGTAGGTATAAAAAAGGAGCAAAAGTTAAAAAGTTGAAACTAGAAGAGTTAAAACGAAAAAAATTAAAAAACTACAAAGTTTGTTACGCCATCAGCGGTAATATTTAGGTATGTCTTATACGAATAATTATTATTATTTACTATTTAGTTATATTATTTAGCCACAATACATATTCCTAAGGCCAAAATTCACCTCTTACTATTAATTACCATACTTTAAATACCAATTTATTTCCGATTAATTTAATATGTTTGGAGATTTAATGTATATGAACTCTAAATCTGGGCTAACACTAATTAATGGGTTGGAAATAGTCAATAGACAACAGACGTAAATAGTAAATGTAGTATGTAAGTATATTAAATGCACTTATACATAATATTATATAATAATGAATACCTATTCTTAGTTTAATTTGTATAGTAATATTTTTTTTTCATAAACAATTATTGTAAGGTAAAATTATTAATTATTTTTGATGAAAGGTTGTTAAGTACCTACTATTTATTAGGATTGATATTTTACACAAGTTATGTTTTGAGCATTCAACTTTTGAGTATATAAATATAATATAATCCATATAATAATATATTGTATACTCATGTACAATGTACCTACTGATTTACCACCTATTTTAAAAGTTAATAGTTTTGTTATACCTAGTTCATTATTGATGACCATTGACCAATCAAATTTTGACAAAACGCCTGATTTAATCATTAGTATTGCTGTTGTGGTGGTGGCGGTGATGTAGGGGGGAGGGGGCTATGAGCCATGAGGTGGCAAAATATATGTGTGCCCCCGGCTGCATTACACCTTAATAGGGCACTGTTAGTAGCAATAGCAACGCATTGCCGTGTCAGCTAGTATTTCATAAATTATATTTGTGATAATATTAATAATAATAGCACCGATATCGAACTTGATTTTTCTCAAATTGTTCGAAACGTTCGAGTTGGATGAGGATTCAATTTCGAGTATTAATTTCTGACGAACTTTAAGCTATTCGAATTTCTCAAAGTTCAGAGTGTTCGAGAGTTCGATAACTTTGAGAATTCATCCCTATTAATAATATGTAATGTTATAATAGTATAACGGTTTCCGCAACATTTCACTCGTAGAACACAAACGTGACGTGCTGGATTTGTCGCATCAACTTTTCACGGTTAGTCACATAATATAATTTTGTTAAAATGTATACAGTTAGAATATGATGTTCACGAAATCTATCCTTTATATATACAATATGCATACAGGGTGACCCACCAAGCATGCCCACGCCCTTATTTTTATCGTTAATAATCCAGTTATTTAAAATTTTGTTCTTGTAAGTTTTACACATATTATATACCTAGGTACTTCAATACCATTTTTATTTAAAACTGGATATTTTGTAGCATTTAAGGAGCCATCTTGTGACGATACAAATTCATGTTTTCAAAATATAAAAACCTGTAATTTTTACTTAAAATTAGAGAAATTTGATATCTGAGAATTTAGATGTTAAATCAAAATTCAAAGAAGTAGTTTTCGAGTTATTAAACAGTATGTATTTAGGATATAGTAAGTTCAATAAATAGCTGACGTTTCATGATAATAGGTTGGAAAATATAAAGGCTATGATAGTTTGAAAATTATAGTGGTTAGTAACCATTAACGTTTTATAATTTTTAAAATGTGGCCTAATACCTATAATAAATTCTAAAATACATATTATAACAAAGTTAATATTATTTTTTTTAAACCATTTTTAAGTACCATTGTCATTACACATTAGTATCCCGATATATTTTAATTGCTCAAAAACTGCTCATTCAAATTTGTATTCAAAATGTACATAAAAATTATTAACTGAATAATATTTAAAATAAGAAATGATGGTTCTCAATTGAATAACAGAAATTTGTATCACCGCAGGACACTCCGTAACTGGTACAAAACATTTCAAGCGTTCAAAAACATGTTCTTTAAATATAGTTAAAAAATTTAAAAAATCGTATTTTGAATATTTGCTTTATTCAAGAAAAAATATGATATGAACATGCTTAGAGAATCACTCGGTATACAAGTATATATTAGCACACTTCGCATTACTCGATGTTTGTGCAAGGCCATTTGAGTGTCAGTATAGGTAGAATAATATTATATGGAATACAATAATATTAATCATAAAATGTATTATTTACGCGATCGTTTTGTATAACTCTAATCGTTCCCACTTGCCACCGTGTACAGTGTGTAAAGGAGCCGCCGTGGGCGAATGTCTGTAACTTTAAAGAAAGTATAATACTCGGGTGATTTCGGGTAATCAACGTGTTTTATTTAATGTTGATATACAAGGTATGGGGATGGTGGTTCACATCCCCTAGACCGTATGGTATGGTTCCCGGGGTCGAGATCATTTTGACAAAGAGGGGAATGAGTTGGTTTATTTACAGTTCGGGAAGGTCCGGGTGGATACGTCCGCTCATATAAGTGGCGTTGGTTCGTTTTCCCGTACGAGTTGCGTGGCCTATGCATGCTCGCTTGGGGGGGAGGGACTTGTTTGTTTTTATGAGTCGCCAAACACGGGTTTGGTGGTAATCCGGTCCAGCGGCGGTCTTCGGAATCCCGTGGAACTGGATTTCTCGGCGTGGCTGGTTCAACCGTGTGATCGGCGACTGTATGTGGGCAGCGGCGTAGAATGGTTGGGTATTCGTATCGTCAGTCCTTTCGTCGTAGCTGGTTCTCGGGTGGCATCTTGGGGCTCGCTGGTATTGTCGGTCGGCTCCTGCAGTTCTACTGCTCCGGCGCGGCGATTGGTGGTCTTCTCCGTTTTCAAGTAACAGTAGCTACGAATTTTGAATAGTTTTGATGTCTTGAAGGTTGGAGAATAAAATGTTTGTATTGCATTGCATTGTATGGTTGGGGGGACTTATAGTCTTTTTCCTGAGTTTCGGGGGGTTTAGCCCCATGACTCAGAGTAGGAGGTGGTGTGGTTGAGGTGCTTTATATGTGCGCCCGATCAGTTCACCGGGTCTATTTCTGTTGGGTTCAGGTCGGCTGATCGTTTGGCCTATATTTTGTAGGTGGTTGTAGTTGGATTTGTGAAGTTTGATGAACATGTTTTTTGAGTTTTGTGTGATGGTTGATTGGATCGAGGGAATTTGGCTTGATTTAGAAATAACTGTGTTCCAGACAAATCAGGAGCCGGTGATTGTTCGGAGGGCTATGTTTTGTACTGCCTCCAGCCGTCTCTAGTTTGTAGTTGATATAAGTGCTCCCCATGCTAGATGCCATAGCAGGCATTGCAGGTTTGGCTTTGATCCGGTTAATTCTTTCTTTGGAAGTTTCGGGATGTGTGACTATTGGTCTTCCGTTACCATGGTTTCCCGACATTCGTTTTTTTAATCGATTTTGTTAAGTTCTTCTTCCGCCCTGGATATTGTCTGGTATGCGTGCTTGATTTGGTTGGTTGTCGAGGATAGATGTGTTTTTGGACATGGCGTCCTGGACAGTAGTGGTAAAGTTCTAGATTTCTTGATTGAGTTCCGATGTTGTGTTGATGATTGGGTTTGGACTTGGGATAGCAAAATACAGATCAACTGCGAATTTTGGCCAGTTTGTGATGCTTCGCTGCTGATTTAGTGGGTTGGAGGATGGCTTGCCACGAAGTGTTAGGATGACCGGACTGTGGTCAGACTAGAGTTCGTCTGTGAAGTTACATAGTTCATATTGTAGATGATTGTTCTTCAGTATTACAATATCTAGGACGCAAGGTTGATGTTAGTATTATTATTTGTTCAGGCGCAAGCATTGTATATTTGGAAAAAATAAAATTTGAATTTCTTACCACTGTGTTTTAGGGCGCAGTTGAAGATTTTGTCCGGTCTTGGGGAACTTTTGTTCTGAAGTCTGCGGATTAATTAGTGTACTTCTCCAGGAGAGAAAAATATTGATTTTTTATTTATTGCCTCATCATATTGTTCTATAGAATCGTGAACTACGTCATCGACCCAGCAATAGGTAACTAGAGTCTTGAATTGTTCTTCCATTGATTGAGAAAATATGTTGGCATTTGTTTCTGGGTCGAATTGGAGATTGCCTTCATGATCTTGCAGTGGGTGAACAGGAGGTGGCTTTCGAAGAAGTCTTTTATTTAGTTTATGAAGTTTCGACCAGCCTTGCGCGTTGTTGTCTATTGAGCCCAGGAACGATGTCCATTCATTGGCCATGTATGAGTGAAGTAACTCTCTTACTAGTGCTGTTTGTTTGTTGAGGGACTTTTTAATATCTGGGTCTCCGCTCCTTTGCCAGGCAGCTCTCAGTTTCCGTTTTTTCTGATGTGGTTTGGTAAATCATTTTTTTTTTGCCATGCGAGTGATATTTGTTGGCAGTGAAAACAGCCTTTTTAAGTGTTGTGTGTTTTGTACCGTATCAAGTGTCTATGAAAATGTAATATGTTAAGTTATGAGAACTCGGTATACCGTTGAAATTGCAAAATAAATAATGTCATAAATTGTGAACAGTTTAACATAATAATACCTACCTATATATGTACTAAAGTATACGATTGAACATTTTCACGAACGAGATTAACGTTATATTATGTTACACGATATTGCGTATTAAATCGATCGGACGATTTCTATTAAAGTTTCAGCGATTGGCATGGCGTTCAATTTTACGTAACCGAGTGAGTTGCTAGGCGGGGCGCAATTTGGATTTAAATTTCAGAGATGACGCTTTATAATCGTATTCTGCAGTAGTTACTGAATCTATATAAACGGCGTTATCGAAAATAATAATAATAATAAACAACAATATTATTACATTATTCGTGAATATTACACTCAATATAATAGGTGATTATTATATTTTTTTTTACTTCATCTGGTTACTCGGAATATTACAAATTTACTAATCATACGGTATTACGTTCCCAATAATATGATATCGAAAATGCACAGTTGTCAGTCGTGTAGCTAAATTGCCTATCCAATACGCCGTGTAGTTCAATAATTATGTGGTCATTATTTCGTTATTGAAATGCACGATGAACACGTCCTATAATTATAAAGTTATATGACTATAATAAGAGGAAAGAAATGGTTAAAAAATAATTAATATAATATTTTACAGAAATTTATTATACGCCTATACAATAGTTATCCCTTGTATACAGCTTAACGAAATTCCTATTGTATTTGTGCTCGTTGAATTGCACATCCTATTATATTAATATGAATACGTCATTATATGGAATCAAAAAAAAATTACAATAATACAACACCATTCTAAACGTTTGTCTGACCATCTGAAATACACCTGTTAGATTTATACATATGTAGAACATTTGGCAAAATCAGAAAACATCAACCCCGTTAATCTTCAATTCACGACTGATGCTTTGTGAATTGCGCACTTCGAGTAATGGATGTATTCGGGTGTAGTAAAATTAAATCGATTAGGGTTGGAATGTATTTTTTGCGCTAATTGAATGAGTTCCCCTTTTTAATATAATATATTATATAAATATATGAGAATTTAATTAGAGGGGGAATAAAAAAATTGATTTTGATTAAATGATAAAAAAAAAATAATAATAAAAAATATCAATTATTACTGAACCAACAGTCTCATCTGAAATTTGTTTTAATGTCATAAAACGCGGTACGCGTATTATATATTATATATCTACAAACGATAAAAATGTAATTGATCTCACTATATGGCGTTTATTTTTAAAGTGAAAAAAATGCTGTGTAAACATTTTTTATTTTATTTTATATACTTTTTTTCAACGCATTCTCTAATTTTTACGAGTAACTTTTTTTTTCTACAGTGTGCGAAACAATAATAGCCTTTTATCGTTGATCGTCTGATGCGTTTTACTCTGCCTTTTACGATCAAACGTCGTATAGAACGATCTCAACGGCTGTCGACACATCGCATAATGCTCCTCCCTCTGGTGATTGATCTATTATTATAATCATAATACCGTACACCAATGGGCCGCCTGCAAAATACAACGATGTCACGTGAGCCCGAGCGCAGACATCGATTGAAATTCTCTGGATCGGGGTCAGTACAGAAAATAATCGTGGTATTAGTATATAATGGATATTATACAACACCAGTCGAAAACCAAATAAATAGACGAACAGATTTTTTAAAAAAAAATGTAATCACGATAACAATACAATATTTTACGATAAAAAATATTTGTCATGGTTCCGTCGCTGTATGAATTTTCATCAATAAACAATTATTATAATATTATTGTCCCCGGTGATGTTCCATATGCGGGTAACGAGACGGTATTCAAACGTCACGTCCACACGTTGAGATACTATAGCCAGTACCTATCTGATGTTTGTTTTATTTTTTCTACCATTTTTCGGTATAACCGAGAATTTCAAATGTCCCGCCGTGTCTCACTCGTCGACGGTTTCGAGTCAGTCGGGGTACGTTTTAATAATAATAAAACCTAAAAGTTAATATTATGGTCTCTCCTGGCACGAGTAAAAAGGTCTGTGTGACAACATTATAATAATATTATGTACAACGGCTATACATAATAACAACGACGATAAACGTGTGTAGGCTGTTCCGCCTCCTAATCTGTCGGTTAAATCCACTGCGAAATTTACTCAAAAACTATACACCGGCACAATGACTATAACAATAACAACAACAACACAAAACAACAACAACATCAGCAGCAGCAACAAGGGCATGGCATTACGATAATAATATGACGCGAAGAAACGCCTAAAGTTGATATGCTTATATTATAATATATACAATATACAGTTATATTATAAATTATAATAATTCGTCGACGAGGTTAAATTAATGTTTTCAGGACTGGAGAAACATAATAATAATAAAATAATTGTATCGTAATAATATAACAAGCGAATCTTTTCCCGTGTCGTCCATGCGGGTTAAATTCAATTTGTAACAGTATATTATTATTATTATTACTATTATATGAGATATACGAGAGCATAATAATATTATTATAATAGAACATCATAGTGACATCGTTTAATATCACATAATAATTACGAAAACGTCGAGTCGTGCGATTACTGCGTTTGTACGGGGTTTGGTAAGTTCCCACACGAAACATAGCAGGTAAGCGAGTACATATGTAAGTTCCCACACGGAAAAAATTACACCTGTACGTAAGTTAAGTTATTAAGGCTTAGGAATGACAACTTAAACAAAATTTTTTTAGGTATAAAATTATAACTTACAAAAAAATTACACAGTATGACTATGTGAAGTGTTTGAGGTATCACAATAAATCTAATAAAATTTGATTTTTTCTATTATTATTTTTGTTTTATACATATACAAATATTATACACATTATATTATTAATTTTTATTATATACTATACGGACTAGATTCAATTGGACTTTTTTTATGCAATACAAAAACAAAACAAATTTTAACCACACCAACTACGTTTAAGTTGTCAGTAATAGGTAAGTCAGAATAAAGTGGGAAGGAAGTTTGTGTTTGGCAAGGCTGAGCATTAACGAATTAAAAGTTAAAATTATAAGCAATTTATATAAACATTATTATGTGTCTGAAATTTCGTGTGGGAACTTACGTACAAGTGTATTTTTTTTCGTGTGGGAACTTATACGTATATATATCCAGGGGTAATTTTTACCTGCTATATCTCGTGTGGGAACTTACATTCGCCCGTTTGTACTAGAGATGACTTTTTTTCTTCAAAAAGCTGAAACGGGCTTGCTCTAAAATAAACAAAATAAAACTCATAATATGTTATTTTATGCCATTTATATATTATAATATAGCTAGTAGACCCACTAAGTATAATACACGGTTATCTACGAGTATATAACAGTGTTATAATGATATTATAATAAAAGTATTAAGATCACTATCATCGCTAAACGATTTTGATTTTTAATGTTTGAGTTTGTTTGGTTTTTTTTGTAACATCCTTCGTAATCATAATATATCAATATACTAAAACATACCTAATATAATATTATACTTGAAGGCTGAAGCACATAATATCATTAAATCCACTGTTATTCCGATATGATAGATTCAAATATTATAAGTACATGAAACAACAATACAACCTAATACCGAAAAGAACGATTTCAGAAAAAAATAATTCGTCGTTCCATATTAACTGGCGATCGTGTGACATAAACATAGCACGGTATTCGATATTTTCCACTTCGAAGAAAATGTATGAACCATGAATAATATTATTATTAATAAGGAACCATTATTCGTAATTATACCTAGTGGGAATTAAGTAATTTTTACATTTTATTCGTATCTATAGTGGTAAACAAAGCGTTACGTAAAATCGGTTAGAAAACAAAAATATCTGTACCCAGCTCAAAAATATATTTATATTAAAAAATATATTTTTCGCTAGTGCCTACCACGATTTAAGTTAGTATTAGTATGATCTATAAGTAGTAGTACTATCTTAAATAGTGGTGAGTACCTACTATTACCACCTACAATTCAAAACGTAAATGGGACATCACTGGACATGCAAATTTTTAAGATCGGAAATAATTAACAAACAAGACAATGGGATGAAAATAGTATAAATGATTGGGGGCAAAAATATAATGTTGCGTACGTGCAGTTTTTAAGCGTTCGCAAGATTAAAAAAAAAAAAAAAAACTAAAATCACTGCAAATATTTTGCGCCCCTCGACTCCGCGTATATCACACTGCAAAGCGGACGACAAGTGACTTTTAATAGTGGTATACGTGCGTGTGTTTCAAACGTTCAACAATAATTTTATTATAATAATATAATTATTATAACATATTATGGTCGTAAACGACGAGGGTATAAACGTTGAGTATTTCGGAAAGCAGATTTTCGCGACGGCTCTTTGAACAAAAAATAAAAAAACCAATGTGGTTTATATGCGCGATACGATTTAATTATATGAAATAATATGTGCGTATGACATTTTTAAAAATCTTTTTACGAGTACAAACCACAATAGGCCCTGTTTAGACAATCATAAAAAATTGTTGTGGGTTTACGCTCAACTTTGTTTTACTTTCCATTAACAACAACACTTATGAGGAACGATGTATTACATTTTCGAGTTTTTTGACTGAGCCAAAAATGTTTAATTTTTTTTTATTGAAATCCGTTTAACTCCGATGGCTTGCATCATAATAATATGTTTGTGTTATCTTGTAGC